CAGCAGCAGGAACAGCACCATCATCTGCTCTATAAAACAAAAACAGTTCCAAGCAGAAATAAACAAGATTTCTCTGAAAAGGAAGAATACCAAACAGTGGACAAATGGGATTATACAAAATTCAAAAGCACTGTTATAGCAAAGGGCACTATTCTCACAGTGAATGAAGAGTCCACAGAGTGGGAGGAATCTAGTAGTTACACCGCAGACCTATATTACTATCTAGAATGTATAAATAACTACAAAGATTAAAACCCCAAAGACCCCACAGCCAACAAATACACTAATGAACTTACTTTAAAGTTCTCTAAGGAACAACCAGAAATGGCGAATAAACATGTTTCAAAGTGTTCAATATCCTTGGCCACAGGGGAAATGCAAATTGACCTACTTAGCAAGTCAGAATTAAAACAAATGCTGGCAAAGATAAGGAGAGGGGAACATTATTCCCTGCTGGTCAAAGTGCAGACTGGTGCAGCCACTAAGGAAATCTGTGTAGATGCTTTTCTCAAAAACGAAACGGAATTACCATAGTTCCCCACTATAGCAGGGAGACTCTGTATCCTCACACTTACACATCCATCCTTACTGGAAATGAACTGGAAATAAAACCAGCCTTGATGCCCTTCCAGTGATGAATGGATCATGAAAATGCAGTACATATAAACAATACCACTTTAACAACAAAGGAAACTGAAATCATGCAATTCTCTGGAAAAATGGATGGAATTTATAAGTATTATATTAAGTGAAGTAACTTAGGCCCAGAAAGATAAATGCTGCATATTTCTCTCATATTTAGATTCTATCTTTTAATTGTTATATGTGTGTATTGTTGGGGAGTAAGTGTGGAGAGAGGTTAAAAAACCAGAAGAGGACCAGAAAAGGGTTACAAAGGTTTGACAGCTGCTTGTGAAAAAACACACATGGCGTGCCATCAAAGAGAAGGAAGACTGCTGTGTATAAGTGTAAAATGGAATGGGAAAACTGTAAGTTCTGACTCATGTGGGGATCCTAGCCATATGTTTATATGTACATGTTTTTAAACGTATTTTATACACATATATGTATATAACCAATGTGCACGTGGGCACAATGTAATGTGTAGGAAGGAGAACAATAAAGGGTAAGTACTGGGTGATTAAGGGTTGAATGCATGTAACGAACACGCAGATAATGAAAGAGGATATAAAGCTAATTGTGTTTCTTATTTTCTGTCATTATTTTTCCATTTTTATTTCTTCGGTGGTAGATAAGTGCATAAAATACATATTTGATAGTGAAAGTGTAAAATCCATTGTGACGTTCCACAGCTTCAGAACGTCTATTCTAACTATATAGAAGGTCATTCAGGTATGTAGACTTTGGGTGTGGTTAATTTTGGTGTGTGATTTTGCTTGTTAATTTCTAAGTTCTTTATAATAAAGTTTAAATTAAAAAAATTAGCTCGGCATTGGTGGCACACACGTTTAATCCCAGCACCTGGGAGGCAGACACAGAGGGATCTCTGTGAGTTCGAGGCCAGCCTGGTCTACAGAGCGAGTTCCAGGACAGCCTCCAAAACAATACAGAGAAACTCTGTCTTGAAAAACCAAAAAAATTTTTTTTTGATCACCAGTTATTTGTGGGGCTTGGGAGACCTGAAGCATGTGGTTTACTTTTGGCCATTTTTGTGGCGCACATGCTTGTGGTACTTACAGACGACCAGTCTTACAGACGGGGATTGGATTGCCATCATGGTTTGGCACAGAATAAACATAGTATCTTTCTCAGCTTGTGTCATGACCACCTCGACCAGCAAGGAAGACACGACTCAGGAATCCTTCTCACAAGCAGTTTATTTAGGACCTTGATGAACAATGTGGAGGCAGCTGTGGGAGCAACCCCTCCTGCTCCCTAAATAGCCGAGGCCAGCCAACCCTGAGCAGCCACGTGTGAGCAAGCCATAGGCTCACCAGCATGCGTAAACAATCTGATGACGATGGCGTGACCCTGAACACACCAAATAAGGAGTTGTTTGTTACTGAGAGCACTCACCGTCGGGATGGTGGAAGGCGGAAGCCGGTGCCATCTGTAAGGCGTGGCGCAGCTCTCCACAAGCTTGAAACTTGACTAACTTACAGGCACATCTTATGGTGGCTTGGAAGGTGACAAGGAGGAGTCTCACACTTGCTTGGTAAACAGAGAAGGATGGATGAAAGTAAGAATTTATTTCAGCTTGTCACTTGGCCCATTAACTAACGGTAGCTGGTACTGTCTACCATGTGCTTACCTGTAGTTAGGCACATTTCGGTGATAATCTCCACCATGTACCTGTAAGACGGAGACTGGCTCTCATTTTACAGCTTAGTTCAAGCCAATTGGGTTGGACCAATCATCAGTTGAAACCTGTTTCTTAAACTCCTAAACTGTCCAAAGTAAAGATCCAAGTCTTCTTTCGAGTTCAGTTTCCTGTTTAGATGCGACACAATGCCTTCCATTTATTTGTAATACAGGCCTGGCACCACAGCGAGACCTCAGCCAGGATCTCTCCCTGGCCTCAGAATCCTAATGACTTTGATGCCCTCTGGTTCTGCCTCTGTGCACCGCGACTCTTGCTCCTCAATTACTGCTGCTGATACTAATTCTGATGATGATAGCAATGGCTGCTGGGAGCTGACTCCTGGGACTACTTCCCTCCCTGTTTAAGAGGAAAGAGTGTCTCCTGGACAGCAGTCTCAGAAAGAGTTAAGTAGAGGCAAGTTTGTCAGCTGATTTAAGTGACAGTCACTTGTCATTTCCGGATGCCCTTTGTCCTCATGGTGATCACAGAAGCCACACGAGAGGCTGCTTGCAGGAGTGACAGGAAAGTGTAAACACACACCAGATGTGACTTTCATATGTGCATCCCAGGGCCGCAGTTCCTCTGGACAGGAAGTGGGCTGGCTGTGTTCACTTTACACCAGAGCCCAGTGTCTGCACACAGCTGGCTGGAGCCACTGTGATCCTTAGCACCATGTGGACCTGACCTGAGACTAGATTTAATGGAAACTCACCATTCAGAGTGAAATTGAGCATAAATGCATGGTGCTTTAATAACACACTAATTGTCGTTGCTATGCAAATAAATATGGACTACTCAAAACAAATCCCAGAAGCACCCACATTTGTCTTAGTTCCTTCCTTGATGTGAGGGGTTGTGTCTCAGTTACCTATTGTCATGCAACAAACCCCCAGCATCCCTTAGGTTGTTGTAATGCCCGGTGGCTCCTCTCCTGGGTTCACTAGGATCACTATCTACCTGAACCTAGTAGGCAAGGTGGCTGGAGGCCAGGCTCAGCCAGCGTGGTTATGTCTCTCTTTCACATGGTATTTTTACTAAAGGTGTCTTTGTAGTGTGGCAGTCTTTGGGCCATCTTGAAGGTAGTAGAGCATCCTTTTCACAGTGTCCTGTGGGTTAGAGCAGGCCACAAGCCCAGTGCAAATTCAAGAGGAAGACAGACTCCACCCTTCGGGGGGAGGGAGTGACTGCATGTGAGCAGCAGATGAGTCAATGCATGAAACCCTTCATCCTAATATGAATTGCAAAATAGGAAATCTGAGCTGAAGGGTGCATGACTTTCCATGTCAATGTTAGACTTTTCCGTTTAAGGTGAGATCTGCTTTTCAAAAACCATTTGGTGCGATTGAAAGGGCTAATTCTTTTGCTCTTCCAGCATTAAGTATTTTGACTATTTTGCTTGTGTCAGATACAAATCCTCAGTGTGTATGTGTTGTGAGATTTTCAATATAGATTCATTCACCATTTATGGCCATGTGCATGGATTCATGTGTATGTATCTATGTGCACATTTCACTGCAGAACATCATGCTATTCTAAAGGAAGATTAATTATTAGGTTATTTAAAGATCTCTTAAACATGTTATTATCTTTGAAGTTACCTTTTTCCCCCTTCTTGTGCTAATACCAATCAGACCGACTTACATTCTGTATTTTTAGAAACTCAGAAAATTATTTTTTTCTTTAAGGGAGTTACTTTTGTCCTTTCCACAAAACCCTCCATTAAGAAGTTATAACCCCAGTTGAATGCAAAAATAAAGGTGTCTCTTGGCATACTCTTGACATCCACAGACATCTATCATCTGGAAGTTTTGCTTAACATAGCCTTGAATATGAAGAGGAATTTGGAGATTAAGTCACTAGGTCACCTATAGAGCTAGAAGGCATGCGTCCTGAGTCCAGTGGGATTTTGTTTGTGAAAATGCAAGTTTATCAAACAGCAGGGTCACAAATCACTTGTTCACTTACCCAGAAAACCCTGCCCCTACTGTCACTGAGTTAAGTCTATTCAGGGTGATGCATGTTGCTTGAAAGCAAAACCCCTAAAATAAAAGGTATTTCCCAATTGATTAAATTCTAATGAGAAGAAACAGAGAGCAAAGAAATGATGTGTGTGTGTTGGGGGGGCAGCAGAGTTGAGATGGAGGGGGCCAAAGCAGAAAAGGGACTGCAGGGCTGAGAAGTGAGGTGAGACACAGGCAAAGATGAAGCAGTGTCTACAAAATTCTCAAGGAGTAAAACGGTTGGTTCAAATTCTAGTCAGGAAACTCGGGGAAGCCGCGGGCACCCTGTTGCTGTGGTGGCGATATGGACGTGACTGAGCAGTGGGGAGGAGAAGCAACAGTTTGAAGAAAGAGGAGCCAGGAACAGGGAAAACTCTTCTGTAGATACTTGACTGACACCTGAGGCTGAGGAACAGGACGGTTTAAAGGAAGCAGTGGCTCATGGGAGAGAATCCAGTGACTGGTCATATGACAGCAATTTGGGGTTATAGGACTTCCAGTACTGTGGCGAAACTGCTAATATGAAAAGAAGGGAGATTTTCTGAAATAACTAGTTGGGAAATAAAGATTTCTTCTAGATTTAAAGTTTATGCCATTAAGTATTTTTCTTGTGTGAGAAATGCATATACATATATCCCCATTTTATTTATATTATACTATAATAGTATTACATGCATTTTAAGACATACACAAGATACAGCCATCACAGTGGAGACATTTAACAAATGGAAGACACAATATTTTCTCCTTGTAGATGCTTTTGCACACATGTTCATCTCATTGTGTGGTCCTTACATTTAGGTGTCATCACTGTTGGGCATCTACCCAAAGACCCTGGAAGGAAAGAGCCTCTGCTTTCAGTCTTGATGAATAATTTTCTTACTGTCTTAACTTCTGTCTAGGTACCATCTTGACTGGAAGCACAGCTTTGTAAAGAATAATGACTCTAAATGATTTAGGCAAAAGATGTCACAAAGTTGTTCAATTGTTCTTACTAGTTACTCTTGTTACATGTGATATCACAGGCAAACAAAACAAACTAACAAAAATCACCAACCAGCTAAGCAATCAAACAACAACAAAGCTAATCTCAGATAGGAGAATAGCCATTTTATTTGTTATGTTTGGGTCATGTTTTAAAACATGCATTCTTTTCATGGATTCCTCTAAATCCATGCTTGAAGGACCAAAGTGTATTCCCACCACACACATTTAGACCCGTGTGTGTGTGTGTGTGTGTGTGTGTGTGTGTGTGTGTGTTGTATGTATGTATGGTCCCATGTTTGGGCACACATATAAAAGTGCACCCATACATGTCTAGACAAAAGGTTGACATATGGTGTCTTCTTCACTATTTATCTTTTATACTGAGTTAAGGTCTTTCACTTAAATCCAGAACTCACCCACCCTAATAGTTTAGCTAGCTTTGCTCCAGTGGTCCCTGCTGTCTCTGCCTCCTGAGGCCTAGGATTGCAGGCAGGGGCCACACTTACCTGGTACTTATGTGGGTAATGGGGGCCCAAACTCCAGTTCTCACACTCATTCATCAAGTACTTATCTAGTGAGCCATCGCTCCAGGCTCCATTAGAATCTTTTACCGTATGACAAGATTCACAACTAAACTGAGTATAATGGTACACATGTAATCTGTTCAGACACATGTAATTCCAGAGTTCAGGAGGCTGAAGGGGAGGGTCCATGGGATTTTGAGGCCATCTTGGTGTATATAGTGAGACACTGTCTAAGAAAACGAAACAAAAAACCTTTCCAACAAAATAAAGAGAAGGAAGTGACAATTGTACTCTAATTTTTCTTCCTGGTTCTATACAATAAGCAACACTTGGCCACTAAGCATTTTCTCTGGATTGCCCAGTAAAGAGCTCAACTTCTGCAGTTTTTCTAAAATATAGTGTTCTCTGTCTGGAGGGTGTTTTGCTAATTCTCAGACTGTCGTCAGTGACACAGAGACAGATTTCTGCCAATGGTTTACATAAGCAAACAGTGATGCAGGGCAAATCCCCTTGAAGGTCTATAAGGCAAGGAGGGAAATCCTTCCCACAGTCCCAGTGGGATCCCCGCTGGGAGCTGGTAACTCTAGTGGTGTAAAACTGTCACTCCAGCAGGACCAGGTGCTCGCTCATCGTATCTGCTTCTTTCTCAGAGGAGCAGCAGGCTCTTAGATGAGTCTTTCCAGGGCGGGGGGCGGCATCCTGCTCCACATTTCCACTCGAGGACCAGCCTTCTCCTGCCCGCTAGGGCTGTAGGTTCCTTGACTCGCCCTTTGGTTGGAGGCGACAAGAGAAGCAACAGCTGCAAGCAGGAGGATGAATAACAGGGCCAAGGTCCCTGAGCCAACGGCCGTGAAAACGCCCACGAGCCCGTCGCCAGCCAGCTGCAAGGATTGAAGGGAGGATGGTGTGAGTTCTAGAGCAAGGGTACACCTGGAACAGTGGAGCCCCTCTGGGATGAAGAGCAAGGAGATGGAGCTGGTCCCTCTCGGGAGTATAACAAAATCAAGGCGTCCCAGACTTTTCTTTTTCCTAAATCATGCGTAAATGGTGCCCTACCTAGCTTCTAAGGTCTATTCTGAGAAAGTGTGTGTGAAATATCTACTGTATATACTCAGCATTGTCGTCTCAGTGACTAAATCCTTCACTTAAAGGGGAAAAGATGAATGAACCATACTCAAGCAGAATCATCCTAAATTTATAGGACTCCGTCATTCATGATTTCTTTCCTTGTTTAAATATTTTGAACCAGAAATATAATTGCCTTAAAGCCTTTTGGGGGAAAAGAAAGCAGATTACATTAGCTGGGTCTTGTAGAACAGATCTCCAGAGAAGGAAGACCGATGGGCTACTTCCACAGGCAGTTTGCACAGTCATCGTTCTGATTTGACTGTGACATAACAAGTGGTGTTGGTAAAAGCAACTGTGTACCATGTTGAACCCAGACACTGAGCATCAGAGAGCATAGCATCAGGTAGAGCCCCCTGCAGAAGCAGTGGAGCCCTGGGTTCTCCAGGCATTTACTAGTGCACAGAAGTTGATATATTGTCCATTGCAGTGAGCTCATCTCCTCACCAAAGCTACAACCTACTGGTTTAGCAATAGGTTACAGGAATCTGCAATTGAGCTGCTTAGAAGCACTAAGGTTGATTGTTTAAATGATGTGCTTGAAGTAGTATTTCTGGCATCACAAAAGTAGGAGTAATTGTTTTGCCTTCTCAGTTCTCACTTAGCTCTCTGTATGGTCCTTGTCTCATTAGCAAGCCAAGAGAATGTTCCATATGAAAACAGTGTTTGAACAATTCTGGGCAATTTAATATCCTTGCAGCTTTTAATCATTTTTATTGTTGCTACTATTCCCTCATAGTTTGTTCAAATCATTGAATGATTACTACCACACAGTAAATCTCCATAATGTTATCTTTGATCTAGTTATGGTAAACCTTGTTTAAATGTGGTTTACTAGTTTTTCATTCACTCATGTGTATAGAGCAGCTACGTGGGCATCTATGGAGCTAGAATGTAAAAACATGAAGATATCAAAGCTGAATCTAGCTCTCAGTTTCTGGGGAACAGGAGGAAAGACCCACCTTCAGTCATATATATATATATATATATATATTTACAGTATGTTACAAATATGCATTAGTGTCATGAATACTGAGCACAGCCCAAGTGAATTCAATCTGAAATGAAGCATATGACTGTTCTCTGAGTGATGAGGGAATATCCAACAATTCTAAGCAAGGAATCTCACTTAAATGAAACCATTTGAATTTAAACTTAAAAGTGGGAGCTTTAAAAACTCTTTAGACTTGAAGGGACTCCAGTGAGAGCAAAGCTTGTACTTAGTGGTATGTCAGAGTTGGGGAAGGAGCGCAAGGACAGGTGAGAAAGGAAACTACAAAGCAGATAAATCCTCTCAAGCAATCCAAATGCCACCTGAAAGTCAGTGTTTGTCCTGTGGTCCCAGCAGAGGCACCAACGAAGGACCTTTAAACAAGAGCTTGGCTTATCTGGGTCTGTGTTCTATTAGCTTGATTCCCATAATGCAGGAGGGAGGCGGGAGATAGAGTAAATGTAGGGGAAAAGACAACACAGAGGATTCCATTATTAATAACAGCACATGACGCTGATCTAAACTTAGTGAAAAAATGAGAGGTGAGGTAAAAGGATGAGAGAGAGAGAGAGAGAGAGAGAGAGAGAGAGAGGAGGGCTAAAATCAGAAGCATTCTCAGCAGGCAATCCTTGGCAGTATTCCCTGGGACTGTTAGACAAAGCATTCTTGTTCAAAGTTGTTGGTATTAGCATCTTCACTCAGTTGTGTCTTTATCAACCAAATAGCGGGCTGCCCTGGAAGAATGTGATAGGAGTACTCATATACACACAGGTAGGAGGCAAACCAGTTGGTTTTCTGGATGTTTCTGGATCTCTTTTGTATCACCACAGAGACTGATTACACCTAAGAAATGGACCCTACACCCTAGCACATTATAGCACAGAGGGCAACAGGAAGCAATGCGGAGATCTCTAAGTGCCCGCAGCTCTCTGTGGACAGAGAAGTGATCTGCTTTCTTTCCCTTGTGGCCTGTGAAGAATCAGGACCTTGACTGTAGTTCTCTCACCAGACTCAGAAATGAGGTGAGGGTGTCAAGAGCTGAAGCCAGTCTCCCCCTCTGTCACTCTTGGCTGAACACTGATATCGGTAAGAGCTCAGCCTGTAGAAGAGGAGGCCAGGGTTTGATTCCTGCCTCTGCCTCTTATCTATGTGAATATCAGCCATTAATCTCACAGGTGGAGAGTCACTCATTCACTGCTAAAGTTGGGTATTGCTATCTACTTAAAATGATGGGATTAAATAAAATACACAGAGTCTAAACTATACAAAATATGGGCTATGTGTTCTTAATACATACTATCACCAGGAGGCATCAGCAAACTATTGACCATGATTGCCATTTCTATTGATTTATATAAAATAAAGTTGAACACCTCACCCCTTGACCGAGAAGACCGCCTCGAAACCTAAGTTGTCATTCTAGGCCTCCCATAATGCTTTCGATGAAGAATCCCACAACTATTATATATAGAGACAATAAGCAAGCATGGGCCTGAAGTAAATGGCATTTTAAAATTGTTTCCAAGGCTTTCTACTTTTGACTTTCTATGATTAAAAGACTACCCTTTGCTCTGTTATTCTTCAACCATCTTTTACAAATACAGGGCCCAGATGGATCTTAGGATAACTTAAATTCCAACAGCACATGGACTCTCAATGGCTCCATCAAAGGAGTGGACCAGAATTGCAGGGATTGTGCTTGTCAACACTTCCTTGAAATGGTATATCCAAGTTAATTATAAAAAAGAAGAAGGAGGAGGAGAATTAGAAAAAGTCCATATAAGATTATTTCTCTAAAAGATTTGCATCAATCGAGAATCAGTTCTCAAGTTAATATCATTAAGGTGTATATGTTATATACGACTAAACTATGATTATGTTGAACTCTCTAACTTCAGAACGAAGTCAATAAATGTTTCCTTTTCATTCTGAAGTTTTTGGCTTAGTTGTGAAAGAATTTGGAAGAACGCGAGACAATTAATACATTAGAAGGAGCCATTATATGGAAACTTGATCTCATACTCTCAAGACTCTGGAGGCAAAAGCTCGCGAGCTTTGATTTAAAGTGAGACTATGCACCAACGTGCGCTGGTACCAAGCAGGCCATTCTCCCAAACTGCATCTTATAAAGTGATGCGCTGAGTCCTACCTTCTTCCTCGGCCTCACTTCACACTCACCTCTCACCTGACATTGGCCATATGGGACAGCGATTGCTTGTGGTGTGCCCCCACCCCCCTGTGCTGCCACTGAATTGTGAGTTGTTGTTGTTGTTTAAATAAATGCTTTAAAATAGTAGCACTATTTGGATCCTATAGAAAGCTATAGAATGCTATGGATTCCTTCAAATTCTCCTTGAAACTCAGTTACAATTGAGCTAGGTAGGAACATGCAGAGGTAGGTGAACAAGGGGTGTTAAAACTTTAGCTGTGTAACCAGATCAGAGATGACATAACAGCTTCGACACCCGAGTTTTGGTGTGTGTGATATGTGTATTTAAATGTTACATGAATATCCAGAAAATATTACAAGATTAATGCAAAAATTACTTCTAACATGGGCTTCAAAACACCAGTCAGAATTTTTTTTTTTGTATCTGCGTATCGAAAGCAATATAAAGGCATTGCTTCACCTCTCTTGCTGAATTAAAATCAGAGATGAGAATCCGGTTTTAAGACGGGAGAGAGAAGGTCTTGGGAATCCCTCTTGTAACAATTCGACCCTCACTTTATGGATGGTAAAACACTCCCACGCAGACTCGAATCCTTGAACTGTATCTTATCAGCAAGTTGCCAGAAGCAGGCGTTTCCATAGTAATGCTGACTGTGTGCCAGAACTTTGTTTTTAAAATTATTATTGTGACAGCTGCCAATTTTTAACCATAAATATACTGTTCACTTTACAGTTCAGAGGCGGCAGGGGGGGGGGGCGGGGGCAGGGGGAGGCAGAGGGGAGAAGGTGCTGGAGAAGACTTGGGAATTGTGCTTGAACAGCAAGGCTGGGGAGTCAGCTAGGTGTCCCTTCTACAGAATGAAAGACTCAGGAAAGAGGAAGCAGTGGCCTCAGAGAGCTTGAGCCCCTCTGCCTAGAAGCAGTCCATGGTGGACAGCAGGCCGAAGAAGAGAGCTGAGACTTAAACTGTACCCGTGTCTTCATCAGGTGGATCTGCCGCTGCCTGAAACACAGAGCTCTCCCTGCATTGCTGAGAGCGTCTAAGCTGTGAGGTTCCCAGTCCACACCCCAGAGAACTGTGTAAGAATGTAACTGGCAGCCTTCAAAGTCTCTCACTGGAATTCAAAGTCTTTCTCATTAACTCTCGCCACGTAGTTACAATTCTTCACAGCTCCTGTCTGGAATCAGGATTACCCAGGGGAAAAAATACAAAGTTGCCATGGGACGGTGTAGAGAGACATAAACTGGAAGGTAGAAGCTTTCCCATGGGTGTTTACGCCAGCCCCTGCAGATGTGGTCTGTCTTGGAGGTTGTATGGAAACCCTGGAAGTAAATGAGAAAAAAGAACTGGTCTAGCTTGAAATGAAAGTAGCCTTGCATATTCATTGTTCCAACTGTGGCCTGATTTTGTCTTGTGGACTGCCACCTAAAGAGCTCATGCCAGCTGATATGAGATCTCCTTGCAGAAAGGGACAGAATCCTTCCTGAGTTCACAAAACCAAGGTTGTGCTTGAGTTCCCCCAAAGAACAGGGCGGAGGTGCAGGGCTGAGCACTGTGAAGGAAGATCTTGTGTTGATTCCTGCTTCCTTCCTGC